GTTTGTCCTCTATTTAGTCTTTTTGTTTTATACTTTTGCATGGATTAATTTTAGGAATTTATATTTTCCTATGCAGTTATCTGTACCTTTGAATTTTTAGAGCTGTGTTTAGAAGTTCTTTTATAATGTTTTTATTGCTGACATATCTATTTTCTTTTTTCCTTTATCAATTCCATTGGTTTTATATTTCCCTTTCCTTTAATCAGCCTCATGAAGGTTCGTCTAATGTAGCAGTTTTTGCAGAAACTTAGTTTAATTCATTCTCTTTCTGACAATTTTTTATTCTACTTTTCTTTTTCTCCATGTTATATTTAGACTTTAAATCACCCATTTTGCTTGTTCTCACCTCTCAAATTGAACTCTAAAATTCTTAGCTCTTTCTAGAAATATTTACTTTTTCTTTCTAGAAATCATTGATAGAATTTAAGTACATTCATGCCTCTTGACTTTTAAATCATGCTTTTGTGTGTACACATGTTGTGTTTACATTGCTTTTTAGTGCTTTGTATGAGAACTTAAAATATTTTTAGTAGTTCTTTGGGAGTTTTATACTATACTCTCCCAACTCTTCCTAGATCTACCCCCTTCCCCACCCATCCAACTTTGTGTTGTGGTTTTTAAACCCACCAAGACCAATTTGTGTGTTGCCCAAATATTCTTGGATGTGTTGCCTTCCTTTAGAGTGTGATCTATTTATCAGGGACTACATTCTTAGAAAAAAACTGACTCTCCCTCTCCTAGAAACTGTCAGTTGTCAATAGCTCCTCAGCCAAGGATGGAACTTCCTGCCCAACTCCCTCTCCATTGTGGATTTGATATGGCCTGAGCTTATAGAGGTCTTGTGTGGACTCTCAATTACTGTGCATTCATATGTGTAGCTTCCCTGCACTGTCCAGAAGACACTGTTTGCCTTAAGTCATAGACCACATCTGGTTCTTACGCTTTCTCCCACCTCTTCCACAGTGATCCCTGAGCCTTTGGAGGGTGGGGTGCAATATATCCATTCCATTTAGGGCTGAGCATCCAGGTCTTTTATTCTCTGTACTTTGGCCAGTTGTGGGACTCTGTATTAATCCCATCTACTACAAACAGGAGCTTCTTTGATATAGAGATGCGTCAATCTGTGGGCATAGCCTGAACTCATTGCTCACAAAGTATTTTCTTCTTTTCCATTTAATTTTGTGGTGACTCATCCTTTCAATTTTTTATTTTTGTTTTTAATATACACATGATTGTCAACCAGCTGATACCATGTTGATTGTCTTAACTCTGTTTTTTCACTCTCTGTTGTCTTAGTTAGGGTTTCTTTCTATTGCTATGGAGAGACACTATGACCACAGCAACTGTTATAAAGGAGAACATTTAATTCAGGTGGCTTATAATTGAGAGGTTTATTAGTCCATTGTCATCATGGTGGGACATGGCAGTGTGCAGGCAGACATGGTGGTGCAAAAGGAGCTGAGAGTCCTACATCTCAATCTGCAGGTGACAGGAAGTGGATTGACTCTTTACTAGCAAAGCTTGAGCAAAGGAGGCCTCAAAGCCAGCCCCCACAGTGACAAACCTACTCCAACAAGGTGATACCTCCTAATAGTGCCATTCTCTATGAGCTTGTGGAGGCCATTCCAACTATCACATTGTTATGGAAGGTCCAATTCCCTACCTCTTTTTGGGTTTTGTTATTTGCTTTTTTACATATTTATTTATTGAGAGAGTGAGAGAGTTCGTATATATGAATGTCTCAGGAGGGAGGGAGGGAAGGAGAGTTCATATATATGAATGTCTCAGGAGGGAGAGAGAGAGTTCATATATATGAATGTCTCAGTACACATGTATAGTTTGTTCTTTCCACCATGTGTGTTCCAGAGATCAAAGTCAGGTGGTTAGACTTGTTTTCAAGTCCCTTCGACCACTGAGTGGTCTCATTGGCTTGCATTTGCTCTGTGTTTTTGTTTTCTGAGCAGTGTTTACCTAAGGAGTACCAAGTCATAAGCCAACCTTGTTTGTCTGTGGCGAAGCAAGGTGACAAGGCTCTAACCTGTGTGTGACCTGATTTCAGGGAGCAGAGAGGATATGAGGGACTTCAGTGATCAAGTCTGAGAATCTCTTGTAAGGAGCTTGTTGTTTGCTCACTGGAATTGTGCTCTAGAATATTCTATGGAATGGGGGCAGGACAACACAGAGGACAGTGCATGTTCTTACTGCCTCTTCACAAACAGGTTTTGCTGCAATACAGTCTTGATGTAAAATCTTCCTTACCCCCAGATGGCACTGGATAGCTGTACTTTCCTTTCTTTGTATTGTGTGGGCTCAGAGTTCTCCGGAATAGGAAGCTAACAACTAGGAATGTCTTTGTTGGTCAGTAGTATTTGGTGCTCTCCATCTCTTAGCTGCTGTCTCCTTCCTCCTATAGGAGCCAGTGACTCTTGGTTTTCCCAAACTGTCTCCCTGTTTTTCACTAGACTGACTGATTTTTGTCTACTCTTTAGGGATAGGTTAGACCAGTGGTTCTCAACTTTCCTAATGCTGCAACCCTTTAATACCCCCAACCATAAAATTATTTCATTGCTACTGCATAACTGTAATTAGGCTACTGTTGTGAATCATAATATAAATATCTGTGTATTCCAGTGGTCTTAGGGGATACCTATGAAAGAGTCATTTGACTGCCAATGGGGTCAGGACCCACAGGTTGAGAACCACTGAGTCAGAGGCAAGAACTGGACATAATGTTTGTTATCTTATATAGCAATGGAAAAACAGAGTATTTTAAAGAATTTGTTGTGCCCCTCACAAACCTGAGTTCTTAAAAAGGAATAATCATTTTACATATCTTACTTCATGGTATATAATTGGTGGCAGTAAAGCTTTGTTAAAAAATACATTTTTCAAAGAATTTTCCATTAAAATAGTTATGGGCTGGGGAGATGGCTTAGTGAAAAAATGCTTTCAGTACAAGTGTGTGGACCTAAGTTTGAATCTCCAGAACCCACATAAAAGTTGAACATGTAGCACAAGTGTCTAATCCTCACACTCCTACAGGGGGCTGAGATGCAGAGACAGGAATTCCCAGACACTTACAGGCCAGCTAGTCTGACCCATATAGCAGAAAAACAATGATGAGCCTGTCTTGAGCAAGGTAGAAAGCATGGACCAAGACAAGTGGTTGTCCTCTGACCTCTGCCTATATCATGGGGTGTGAATGAACACACACACAGACACACACACACACACACACACACATACACACACAATTTAAAGTAAAAATAGGAATTTGCTGCTTTATTAGTTACTTTCTATTGCTGTGATAAAACACCATGACCAGTGCAACTTATTGAAGGAGGGGTTTATTTGGGCCTTACGTTCCAGAGGGTAGGAGTTCATCACTTTCATGCTGGGGACAGGGCAGTAAACAGGCAGGCATGGCTGCTGGGAGAGGTCACATCTTGATCCACTAGCAGGAGACAGAGAGAGCTAACTGGGGATAACATGGGCATTTGAAACCTCAAAGCCCACCCCCAGTGACACATCTCTTTGATCAAGTCCACACCTCCTACTTCTTCCCAACTGGAAGAAGTTTGACCAACTGAGAACCAAGTATTCAAACATGGGAGTCTATGGGGCCATTCTCATTCAGTCCCCACAGCTACCAATGAAGAGCTCCCTTAATGTAAAACCATGGCTGAGTTTATTAAAAACAGTATGTATGATGTGTTTCAGGGTGATTTAGATCTCTTTAAGAGGAGGTCACAAACTGTAGAGTTAAATAGAGGAAACAGCTAACATCCTTTATAATTTTAAAAATATTTAATCTCATTAAGCAGGGCAGTTACTGTTACCCCACTTGTTAGGTGAGCAAGCCTGGACTCTGGGATGGGAAGACTGTTTGAGACCAGGCAGCTGATATGCTGGCCTGGAAACAAGGTCTGATAGAGACTGATGCCGTTCTTCTTTAGTCTCTACTGCTTTGTTACCGGGAGTGATGGTAGACAGACCTAATCTCTCATCTTTATGTGCTGTGAAGAATCCGGTGACTTTCACCTAGACTTTAACACGGCGTTTGTTAAGACCCTACGCCATCACCTTCCTGTCGTCCCTTTGCATACACTTTCCTGTCTAGCGTTTCTCCTTCCACTCTGGCTGCTCTGTGTTCTTCTACCAGACAAGATATGATCCAGGCTCAGTACCTGAAGCTGCTGTCCACACTAAATGGGTTTTCCCCTCAAGTGACTCTCTCTCCTTCAAATCTTGATGTAGATATAAGCTTCTTAGTGAGTCATTTCTCACCGTCATGCTTAAAATGTAAGGTACACATCTTAAGCTTCCTTACCCCTCCCCAGTTAATGCTTAACACAGAGCTCTTCTAGTGTGCTCTGTAATTACTGTGTTGTCATTGCATGAAGCATTTCTGAACTTCATTGTGCTAGTTCAGGGCTCAGTACAGTATGTGGCTTGGTAAGTATTTGTTAAATGAAAAAGTGTAAGAGGAAATTCAGTTAATTAAACAAAATGTTGATAGCGAGGACTTGTTTTTAATTCAGGAGTTGAACCTTTAAAGTCCATTAAAACAGGAGCACTCATTTGTGAAAAAAAAAGGAATACATCACTAGAAATTTTTATTTATCTAGTTATAAGTTATGATATCAACTTACATAAATTAGCTTTCTTAGAAAAATAGTCTGTTTATAGACTACATGTTTATTTGATAAAATAATTTATTGCTGGCAAATACAGAATAGCAGCTCAGATCTAATTTATTTTTAAGAGAATATTTGTCTTGTGAAATCTTCATGTGAGCATTACAGTCTTGGAATAGGTAGTGATTAGTGTCTTACCAACTTAAAAAAATCTAAATGACATGTTTTCATTTTTGTATCTCAGAATGCCATCCTAATTCTTCCAATGATGAGTTGTAATTCTTTATTCGGTGATTATGTGAAATAAGTGAGAAAGTTTTGATCAACTTTTATTTAAACGTTTCTTCTCTCTTTTTTTTGTAGACTTGCTTTGAGGTCACGCTGATGAAATATGGAATCACCTTTGATAACTTCACCTGGATCAGAGGAAAGCTGCTTTATTAGAGAAACATAAAGGAAACAAATGCCCAGAGGAACCTGCAGATGCCAGCCCTGCACCTTGTGTCTTCTCTATATATTTTTAGCCCATCAGAATTAATGACTTACACATTAAAGAAAATGGTCTATTCATCATACTATTTTTAGCAGTTTTTTCATCAATGTATACAATTTATAAAATTTAAGAGTTATAAAACCTGTAAGGCCTTGTTTAAAATAACTTGCTTTTTAGCACTCAGAACTTCAATATTTACTTTGTTTTTACTTCTGAAAGTTCTCAGAAATGTAGAACATCAGGGAAGATATGGACTTGGAAGCATACAGTTTTATTGTGGATTGCAGTGGGGTTTAAGTGAACAACTCAAGACATCACCCGTTTTGTTGTCCAAAATACCACATAAGCTTATTTAGCTTTAATGCAAAAGAAGTTGCTTGAAAATGGCCTGGGTAAAATTCTTACGGAAGCCTGGTGGTAATCTTGGGAAAGCCTATCAGGCTGGAAGTTTGCTGTCCCTAGCCCCTACTGTAGGCTTATTAAATGAACCAGGACAAAACAGCTGCTTTCTTAATAGTGCCGTACAGGTAAGACCACTAATTACTTATTCAGCCTTTAAAGCACATTTAAGGGACTCTGTTGCTTAATGATTCTTTTAACTCCTCATGATGGGAATGACCTCTGTGTGTTGGGGGTGTATATACCTGTTGATATATCCATGAGCATGTGGGTACGCAATGTGCGCACATGCATAGGGGTCAGAAGTTAGCATCTGGGGGCATTCCTCAGCTGCTTTCCACTCCAGTCTTTGAAGCATGGTTGCTGACTGAACTGAAGCTAGGCTGGATGGATTGAGCTGCAGGGGACTGCCTGTCTCTGCCCCTTCCCCAGCACTGGGCTTACATACATGCTACCATAGCTGGTTTCTGCATGGGTCCAGGGGATCAGAACTCTGGTCCTCAGACATGCGTGACAAGCACCTTACCAGCTGAGCCTTCTGCTCAGCCTTGGAATATCTTCATGTCACTTTTAATATGACACAAAATAGTCTCGCTGAAGATTTTGGTTTTTATAATAATTGGAAATGGTATTTCTCCAAAGAATGATAATTTTGTTCTGATATAAAGAACATTTTATTCATAATGCTTAATAAATTAAGACTATTTTTAAATGAGCATTTGTTTTAATTAGCTAACAGTCTCCTTATTTTAAAAATAAGTCTAGTGTAGTCCCAGTAGATGGGATAAATAGAGACAAACGCTTAGGTTGAAATAATGCAGATTTGTTTTATTTCAGTAGTTCAGCTCTCTTGGCCTCACGGTGACCCTTAAATTGCCTCTAGGATTAAAACTTGAGTGTCATGTTTTAGATTAACTAAAGGTAATTTCATCTATTTCATTCCTTTTAAATTATTTCAATAAATGTGTAAAATTTGCGATTTTAAATAGTCTTTCTTCTGTATAACGTTTTGCCTTTTTGTCAGTTCCAGACGTTTTCTTCTGAACACTAATGGTAGATTGAGCCATATCCAGTTTGTTTAATGACTATACACATCTGTGATACACCGCGTGCTCCAGCCTCTGAATCACCTTGTCCTCAGCTGCTCTCCACCTGGAGCAGATGTCTCCCTGAAAGTTCTTTAGCTCACCCAGGAAAGGGAACCACAGTCACTAGGAAAGCATTGACTCTAGTTCCCTTTGGTCCTTAAACAGCAGTGTTCCACTTAGCTCAGAGATTCTGCTGGTGTTGTTAAGAGAAAAGAAAATACTTAACTGGATGGCAGTGGACGTGAGGAAACCCAAGCACCAGATGCTTTCACTGGGTCCATCTGTCAATTCAGATCTTTCCTGTTTGCTACTTTACATTTTTCCTTTTCTTTAGTTCCCACAGTTTGTGTGTGTGTGTGTGTGTGTGTGTGTGTGTGTGTGTGTGTGTGTATGTGTGGTTTAGAGAGACAAAAACATGTTCCAACAACAAATTCCAAGTATGGAAATGTTCATAGTCAAGAAAGTAGAAATATTCTCTTGGTAACATTTTCTTTTTAAATAGACATTCCATGGAGCTTTGCCATAAAGACTATTTTTCTATATAGTGTTTGATTATGGTACTTCCTGCTAGTTATATGGAACTACCTTTTTTTTCTGCTTTAAGGACTTTAATTGTTTTTAGTAAAGTATTATTCTAGTTTTTGCATGTTTGAAAAAAAATCTACTTCATCCTTGTTTGAAAGATTAACAGATTAAAGATGGGTGTGGTGGCCGGGCAGTGGTGGCGCACGCCTTTAATCCCAGCACTCGAGAGGCAGAGGCAGGTGGATCTCTGTGAGTTTGAGGCCGGGCTGGACCGATAGCCTCCGAAACAATACAGAGAAACCCTGTCTCGTAAAAAAAAAAAAAAAAAAAAAAAAAAAAAGATAGGTGTGGTGGTGCATGTCTTTAATCTCAGTTCTTTCGAAGTGGAGACAGGACGATCAGGACTTCCAAGACTAGCCTTAGGTGTGTCACAAATGGGGGAGATGAAATGGACCCCCCAGTGCCTCCTGATGGGTTTCTTTCTGTATGGTCATTGCTTTATTGAAAGCCAGTTGTTCTGATCTTCGTTTTTCTGTATGGCATGTGTCTTTTCCTATGGCTGCTCTTAAGATTTTTTTCTTATCCCTGGTTTAAAACCTTGTGTCTCTACAGTTTCCTTAGTGTCATTTGTCGTTGAGTTTGTTGAGTCTCTTGAAGCTATCAATTTTGTAATTTTGGTCTAATATGGAACTCATTTACTGATATTGGCTCAGGCAGTTGTCCTGTCTGTCCCTCCTTTGGAGAACTCCAGTTACATCCATGGTTGTTTGAAGTGACACATAGTTCACACATGTGCTCCTCTTGGTCTTTCTTTCTCTGTGCCATTCTGTGTGGTTTCTCTTTCTGTATCTCCAAGTTGTTTGTCTTTGTGGTGTCTAATCTGCTATTTGTTGTACTGTATTTTTTATCTCGGACATTGATTTCCATTGCTAAGTAATTTGATATGTGTCTTCATGTCTCAGCATCATGCGTTCAGTCTTAACCTCTAGCCTGCAAATTGTTTTCCTGTGCTTGTGTACTAATTTTGAAGTCTGTTTTTGGTTTTTGTTGGTGGGAGGGTTCCCCCTCCTCCTTTTTTTATTAGTTTTTTTAGTTTTTATTGGATGTCACAGAAGTTTCACCTTGTGGAGTTAATAAATATTTTAAGATTCCTAATGATAATTTTGAACTTTGTTCTGGAGCTAGATTAATTTAGTTGAAAACAGTCTAATCATTTTAGTGTTCAGGTTTCTTGGACTGGGAGAGTTTTGTTTATTCCTAACATTAATTTGTTTTCAGATACTTCTTTTCTTCAGCCAGTGCTCTGTGAATTTACGTTTTCTCCTTTGACTGTTGGTGGATAGGTGGATAGGTGTTGGTGGTTAGGTCTCATCCTGGTCCTCCATGAGCTCTGAGCATGGTTTCTTCTAGTTTGGGAGTTTTGTTTTCTGGCCCAAGGTGACTTCCACATTGTCCCTGGTGAGGACTCTGCATCACTCTGCCCCACTTGCTCCTAGCAGCCTCCAGTGTGTCACATGTTGCTACAGGCTAATTTGCAAAGCCAGTTCTCATTGGCAAAGCTGCTACTCAAGTAGTCTTTCTGTCAGAAAGTGTCTTGTTAATAATTAGTTTCATGAGTATTTTTAAATCTTACTCAGAAATAAATTGAGGAATACATCTTGTGAGGCCATACCAGTTTCAAACGCAGCTATGAAAAGATAATGGGTCCAGTGTAAGGCAGAGAATGAGTTTATACACTATTTCTCAGTTTTCAGTGTATTTTTATAGTGCTTTAAAGTGAGGAATATGGTTAAAGTTTTTATTCCTTGTTAAACTTATATGATTATATACACAGGTTTTGGGGGTTACTTAAGCTGTTTGTATAAATGTAAAAAACTGCATGAATTTTTTTTAGGATTCATGTTAAATGACTACATTCAAGAAATTAAAAAGGAGTATATATCTATCGCTAAAAACTAGTTCAACAGTTAGCTGAGACTGATTTTGTAACAGGTGATAGAATATAATTTTATGAAAGAGGATAAGGGTGAATTATACTTAAAATAATTTTATGATAAAGATTTTAAAGGCTTTCTACTGTGTTGAATACAGAAAAATTAATATTCTTTGAAATTTTAATGTGTGTATACAATGTGTTCTTATCAAACCTGTCCCTCCAGTTTCTCTGGGACTCTGCAGCTCGTCACCCTCTCGGTTTCATGTCATGGTGGGGTGGAGGTCACCATTATCATCCCCTTCCTCTCCTCCTTATGCACATGAATTCAGGCCATTCACTGTGACATGAGGAACCTGCTACAGGCCACTTCCCTCCAAAAAGTGACTCTTCCTCAGCAGCCATAAGTTGTCCATAGCGCCTTTGTCGGGGGTGTGGGGGGCTCCAGAAGCTCTTTCTCTGCTCATGTTACAATTTTTATTGGCTTGACCTTGTAGATGTTCTTTGCAGAGAACCACAGGTGCTATGAGATGACATTTGCAAAAATCGTGTCATGTATAGAAATCTGCGTTTCACAGTTCTCCTCTTCATCGGCAGCTTAGTATTGGCTGTTGTTTACACTTGGGACATTAGCCAGATAGTGAATCTCTGCATTGATTGTTACCCACTGCAAAAAGAAACTTCTCTGAGAGCAACACTAATCTGTGGGTGCAAACTTAGATGTTAGATAGTGAATCTCTGCTTTAAGTGTTACCCACTGCAAAAAGAAACTTCTCTGAGAGCAACACTAATCTGTGGATGCAAACTTAGATGTTAGATAGTGAATCTCTGCTTTAAGTGTTACCCACTGCAAAAAGAAACTTCTCTGAGAGCAACACTAATCTGTGGGTGCAAACTTAGATGTTAGATAGTGAATCTCTGCTTTAAGTGTTACCCACTGCAAAAAGAAACTTCTCTGAGAGCAACACTAATCTGTGGGTGCAAACTTAGATGTTCGATAGTGAATCTCTGCTTTAAGTGTTACCCACTGCAAAAAGAAACTTCTCTGAGAGCAACACTAATCTGTGGATGCAAACTTAGATGTTAGATAGTGAATCTCTGCTTTAAGTGTTACCCACTGCAAAAAGAAACTTCTCTGAGAGCAACACTAATCTGTGGGTGCAAACTTAGATGTTAGATAGTGAATCTCTGCTTTAAGTGTTACCCACTGCAAAAAGAAACTTCTCTGAGAGCAACACTAATCTGTGGGTGCAAACTTAGATGTTAGATAGTGAATCTCTGCTTTAAGTGTTACCCACTGCAAAAAGAAACTTCTCTGAGAGCAACACTAATCTGTGGGTGCAAACTTAGATGTTAGATAGTGAATCTCTGCTTTAAGTGTTACCCACTGCAAAAAGAAACTTCTCTGAGAGCAACACTAATCTGTGGGTGCAAACTTAGATGTTAGAAGTTAATTTGACAACATAACCATGTAATATGAGTTTTCTCTCCTCTGGGGCCTGATATCCCTAGTCATGGCCTTTCGACATGAAATAGAACAGACCTTGTATCTAATCAGAAAACGGTTACTCTCATAGCTGTCATGTCATTATTGCACAAATGCACTCAATGTGGCAGGCAGATCAGTATTGTGATTTGAAAGGCCCAGTAAGAGAACTGATGTCTTTTCTTCTCTCATTAGCCTGCATAGTACCTTCCAGCACTTTGAAAGGTAGCCAGTAGGGAGAGGGTTTCTAGTCTGTCGGGTTGATTTCTCTGTGTCCTGCAATGGAAGTGAGTGGTGTCTTCAGCAGTTAATGCCTTATCATCTAGTTATGGTAGGCAATGATAATATTATGCCTGTGTGTTTTGGGGTACCTCTAGAGGCTCCCTGACCAATCAGTGGTAGGGAGATATCTATGTCTGGCACTGAGATTGGCATTAACTAATCTCTTCTGGGAACAGTATTAGAGGCCCACCCATGGAGGGTATTTCTGTTCAAACTCCTAAAAAAAAAAAAACTTGAAAGACTTTATTGGTTTTTTTTAACAGAGTCTAGAGGGTGTCCCATTAACTGAATAATCTAAAATTTTCATGTGACAAGAAAGCATACAGTTAAAACATGGTTGGCATGTTGGTGTATTGGTAAATTCTTTGAGTTAGAAGCAAAGTTATATGTAATAGCTAGCATTTGCTGTGAACTTACTATGTATTAGGTCCTTGTCTAACTATTACATATTACCATTTAACCTTTGCAACCCTCGGAGATAGAAGCTACAATAAACATTTTATCTGTCAGTTCAAGAGCTGCTCAACAGTAGAGTGAGAGCTGGAATCCAGGCTATCTGCCTTCAGAGCTTGTGTTATTAGACATTTTGCTGTCACTAATCTTCATTGTCTTTATTGAGTCCTTTGAAAATGAATATCAGTTTTTTATTTTATGATATGCTAAGAGATATTAAAATGCTACCAAGTATTGTACAAAATACTCATTTAGTTTTTATTAACCTTTTGCTAATATCTTGTTTTTATTCGAGAGATTTTAGATGTTTTAAGTAGGTTTTATGTTCTATTACTTGAAGAAATTACTAAAAGATACAGGGAATCTTGATGAACTTTTTTTGCTGTAATGGCTTGTATACCAGTTATGTGTGTCAGGTGTTGTTATATGCCCTTTACATTTTGTAGATTTAGTCATCACAAGAATTGTGTGAGATAAATAATAATAATATTTATTTCACTATGTAGAATTCGGGTTTTACAAAATGGCTTTTAGATAGTGGATTGATAATTTCAACTCTTACACTTGGCTCTCCGCCTTTCTCTTGGTAGCAAGTGTCTAAATAGCATGGCCACACACTTTTAGCAGGATGCACTGACTACTATTTAGTACATCCTAGCTTTAAAGTCTAATTACACTTCCTTCCCAGATTTCCGGTTGTTCTGAGTATCATAACCTCTTCCTCTTTCATGTCTCTGCCAAGTTCTTCACGTAGTGTCGCATGTTTCCTGTCTGCCCAGATCCTTAACTGAGAACTTTTTCATGCTCTGTGCCACACTGTGGCTTTTCATGTGAATCAATAGGAATTTCTTCTATGTAGTGTTGTTTCCCATTGTTTCCAGTGATTATGCAAGTTCCATTTATGTGTAGGAATTAAAGAAGTAATTTACTGCTTTTAAAATGTCAAAATATGTTTTTTTTTCATAGTGAGAACAATCTCAGTCTGTTTTTCATTCAGATCTGTTTTTTAGGTTTTATGGCAATTAGATATATTCCGAAGAAGCTTGAGAGTTCTGACTGGACATATTTGTCAGGGAGATGCCTGTATATTTTGTGCATTGAAGGTAACTATTTAGCAATTACTGTTGTTACTCCAAAATTTTAATTTTGTTGGCTGCTTAATATGGTTGTGACTGAAGTTCATTGTCAAATGACTTACAGTTTTGAAGATGAATGCTTAAAATATGACAAGATTTTATCTCCTAGTTTTGTGTTGGATAATTAAAATTAATATTTTAAGTAATGAAACTTGAATATTTTTGTGTTGTAATCATTGCTTATTCATTTTAATGAATGTGTTTTCAACTATTACTGAGTTCTAAGTGCTGCTCTCATTACTGGTTAATGCAGTAAGCATAACCTGGGTTAATTCAGTGAGCAAAATTTGTAACAATCCCTGTTCTTCCCACCCTTGGGATGTGGAAGCAGGTAAATTTCAAGTTCAAGGCCACCCTGAGCTACGTAGTGCGATTCTGTTACCATAAACAAAAATAAAACCTCATTCTCAGGGAGCCTTTATAGCCTTTGTGGAGTAGGAGACAATGTGTATGCCAGATGGAGAGTATGTTAGGTGGTAAAAAGGACGTGAATGGCCAAAGAGGAAATATTAACCAGAGAAAGACCTGCAAGTATTAAGGAGCCTGAAAAACCTCACCAAGAGGTTGACATTTGACTTAGAAGAAGTGACGGAGTTCAGTAAAGGGTCTTGTGGAAGAAGAACCTTCCATGTAGACATAGAAGCAACTTCAAGATGTTCAGTGTGCAACAAAGAAGTCTGGGCACCAGAAGCATTGAGAGCAAGAGAGAGAGAGCAGGGAGAGATGGGCCTCAGAGGAAGAGGAGTTTTGGTGGCTTCCCAATAGGTCTGTCGCAGAGGGGAGGATGGCTCAGTTAGTTGTGCAAGCATGAGGACTTGAATTTGGATTTCCCTGTAGCCCCCCCCAGCTGGGAGTTGGAACTGGAGAGGGTGATTTGGGTGTTGGTGTTTTCCACTGTCACTCGCCATGTTGTTTTGAGGCAGGGTCTCTAGTTGACCATGGAGCTCTGTTTTGGGGAGTCAGGCTAGCCAGCTTGCTTCAGGGACTCCCTGTCTCTGCCTCCTGCATACTGGAATAGCTTGCAGGCCCTCTATGGCCACCCAGAGTTATGCATGGTTTCTGGGGGTTCAGACTTTCAGACTCCAGTCCCCAATCTGGTGTTTTGCTTACTGAGCCATCTCCTCACTTCCTGAGTAACTAACTTTGTATGGAATTTCAGGACTAACTGTTCTGTATTCTTTCATGGGTATACTGTTTTGAATTTGTCTATGTTGTGAAATTATGAAAGTGTTTATAAAGTTGTTGGCATTGGACAACTGACGTCCTTTTGATTTTTAGACAATATTTGCCCAGTTTCAGCACAGTCGAGAAAAAGCACTGCCCTCAGATAACATCCGGCATGCTCTTGCGGAAAGCTTTAAAGATGAGCAGAGGTTTCAGCTCGGCCTCATGGATGACGCTGCTGAGTGCTTTGTAAGTATCTCTGACGAACGTTAGGAGCTTAGAATGGGGTTTAATTCCTGATAGGATGCGAAGTTGAAGACAACAAATTATAAAGTAAAAGGTATCAGAACTGGTCAGTGCCTATGTATATGTTGTTCATCCTTCAAGACTGAATTTAAGTCATTCTGAGTTTGATGTTGTATTTTGAGTTTTGACTACTGATTTTTACTGTGTGTTAGTTTATAAAAATGTAGAATATTTTATATTTATATAACATATCAACCACCCGTTTGTGCCCTATTTTGCTTTTAATCCTCCAGACCAATTTGTGTGTGTAGTTGTACTACACTCCTGGAGGAAACTGTCTCCCTCTCCTAGCAGCTGACAGTTGCCAAAACTACCTGGCTAAGGGTACAGTTCTGTGCACATCTCCCCTTCCGAATCCTGAGGTTTGATCTGGCTTCAGTTTGTGCAGGTTTTGTGTATTCTATTAAAATCTCTGAGTTCATATGTGCAACTGTTCTGCTGTGTTCAAAAGACAATGTTCCCTAGTAGTTGACCAGTTTGTGGCTCTTAAAGTCTTAACACCATATCAATGATCCATGAGCCTTAGTAGTGAGTGTGTGATACACACACACACACACACACACACACACACACGCACACACGCGCCCTCCCTCTCTTAGGACTGAGCTTTCTGCAGTCTGTTGTTCTCTGTACTTGGACCAGTTGTGTGTTTCTGTGTCAATCACTACCTATTGCAAATAGGACCCTCTCAAATGACAGTTGAGAAAATATTGATCTGTAGATATAATGATAAGTCATTAAGAATCTGTCTTGGTTAGTTACTTTTCTATTGCTGGGAAGAAACACCATGAGCAAGGCAGTGTTCATTGGGACCTATAGTTCAGAGGGTGAGTCCATGACTTCTGATGGTGGGGAACATGGCAGCAGTTGGGCAGGCATGGCACAGGAGTAGTAGTTGAAAGATTACCAATATTGATTCACAAACAGAAGGCAGAGATCCAACCTGTAATGGCATGGGCTTTTGAAGACCACTGATAGCCTACTCCTAGTGACACACCTCCTCCAACAAGGTCACACCTCCTAATTCTTTCCAAACAGTCCACCAACAGGGTACCAGATTTTGAAACTGTGACCTATGGGAACCATTGTCATTCACACCACAGAGTCATTTAATAGCATAATAAGTAGTATTAAGTTCTCTCCTAAAGCCTGTGACCTCTCATGCCATTGGTTCTTGGCCTGATAATGGTGCCAGGTATGGTTTTATCCCATGTATCAGACCTTAAATTCAATCAAAAAGGGGTTGGTTACTCCCTTAATTCATACCACTGTTGTACCAATGGGCATGTCTTGCTGGGTCAGTTATTAATGTAACTTACAGGACTGGCAGCTGACTATGAGTGGTTTTACTTTTCTCCTTAGTTAACTTGCATAGCACCTATCAGCACTGAAAGCTAGCCAGTAGGGATGAAGCTTCCAGGTTTATACCTTTTTGATTTTGTCATACTCTATTACTCAAGAATATGATATGAGAAAAATGTGATGTTTGTCTTTCTGTCTCTGAATGATTACCTCACTTAGAATAATGTTTCCAGTTCATTCATTTACCTCCTACTTTGATTTTTCTTGATAGCTGAATAATATTCCATTGTTAAATGATCACCTTTTTAACATCATTCATCAGTTGATTTACAGCTAGGCTGTTTCCATTTTCTACCTATCGTGAGTAGAGCAGCAGTGAACACAGCTGGGCAGATATCCCTAGAGTAGGACATGACGACCTTTGGGTATTTATACCCATGGATGGTATTGCTGGACTGTAGATCGGTTTTTGGCTTTGAGAGCAATCCTCACCCTGATTTGTATAGTGAGTGCACCAATTTGTTCTTTCAACAGTGAATAAGTGCTCTTCTATAACAACATACAGGGTAGCATTTATCCATTTATTTATTTTTGCCTTTCTGACTGGGAAGAGATGAAATCACAAAGTAGTTTTTAATTTGTATTTATCTGGTGGCTTAGGCATGTTGAACATTTTTAAAAAATGTTTCTTAGTCTTTTGGGGTTTTTTTGTCTTCTGAGAACTTAGGAAAAAATCCTATCTGAGGGCTAGACTTTTTCTATCTGATGGGAAAAATAAGGAAACACAGATGCTTTCTGATGGTAATTTTCTCTTTTACTTCATCTTGAAAAAAATCCTCTCTGAAATTTCTTTTGCTCCTAATTAGCTCTGCACAGTCTCCTCATTGCTCTACACATAAGCTTCTCTAATTAGCTCTCACCAGCCCCCCCCTCTCTCTACACCCTTCCTTCCCTCTCTCTCTAACAGCCAAATTCTTGACAATAATATGTTACATTTTCAGGACCCAACCCATTCTCATAACACATGATGAGTCACATCGTTTCTCTTAGACTAGGGATGTCACATTGACTAGCCAGTGAGTAATGCTTGGCCATGCACACACCTAAATAGTTACAGTTCTCAGAAAGAAAATGACACTGGAATTCAAGACTCAACAATTAGCTGGACTATGAGTGGTAGGGAGTACATGCAGAAAGTTCATTGCTGCAGGGAGTTATGTCTTCTGAAGTTACTTCAGGCACTGACCTTGAATCAGCAAAACATCTCATGTATTTGTCTCTAGGGACAACCAGATACTCACCTCAGGGGCAACCAGCCTGCTTGGAATTTGTTGTCTTTGTAGCTGAGAAAACTAGTGCTTTCCTATGTCAGTCTGAATAATGAAAGATATCCTAGTATTATTTCTATTCATCAGAATTATACAGCTTAAACGGAAATCATCTTCCTGACCAGCCATGGTTATATGTGCGCCCAATAGATGGGATATTTACATGAGATAAACACATAAGCAGCGGGAAACACCATAGCAGTTGTTAGGGAAGAAATGCAGTTGCACATGAGAGAAATTACAGGCATCCGGTTTTCAGAGTCAGTGGTCCTATAAGCCTTGCTTGACAGGATTATCTCCATCACAATTACTTGTCTAGTGGCTTGTCACCTAAATTACCACTTGCCATCTGCTTTATATGTTGATGGCCCCCTGCAGTGCCCAGTTTTTAAATTGGGTTGTTTGCTTTCTTGTTTAATTTTTGAATTCTTTATATATTCTAGATACTAACTCCCTGTCAGGTGTATAACTAGTAAAGATTTTCCCCAGACTGTAGGCTGATGATGGTGCCTTTCCTTTACAGAAAAGTTTTAGTTCCCTGAGATCCCATTTGCTAATTGTCTTAATGCCCATGTCATTGATGATCTGTTTACGAAGTCTTTTACTGTGCTAGTGAATTCAAGGGTCTTTTCTACCCAGCAGCAGACCTCTGTACAGTTGTAGCGTGCTCACAGTCAATCTTCAGGAGTCTAGGAAAGGTGCTCAGGGCTTTTCTTCAGGTAGTGGGTGCTGGTGGACTTGGTGATAGTTGTCTAGGATCCCTATTTGAAAAGGCAGGCCATGAGTGGAGGTCTGGAAGGCAGGTGCTGGCTACATGGTCCTCAGGCTAGCTTCAGGTATGGGTGGCATTGCTGGTTTGAGTTTAGTACCCTTCTCTGGAGAAAGGATGGTCCTTGTGTAGTAGGGATGTGTGGAGTTGGTGCAGGAGCCTGGTGTCTTCCTAGAGAAGGGACCAGGTGTTTGCAGTGGAGATGGGTAAAGCTGGCCCAAGTGAGTGGAGTTGAGTTATAATGGAGAATAGAATCTATCTTACTATAGGCATGGGTCAGGGTTCCTCAGAGTGGGTAGGTAAGAATAGTGCAAGTTGGGACTCCCTGTCTGAAGAGGAGGTGTGTAGCAAGGGATGCAGCAAGTAAAAAGACTTATTTTTAAACAGCAGCAACAAAAAGATTGCCATTTACTGATCCATGGCATACATTTGAAACTTCATAGATTTGTTTCAAAGGACAATGCTTGAATTATAAGTAAAGTAGGAATATAAAAAGGTAATCAGGGTAAGCTGGTTTACCTAACAGGGTTAAGGACCTGAGTTTGATTTTCAGTTCTATGTAAAATTGCTGACCTTGCTCATATACACTTGTAATCCCAGAGCTAAGTAAGGAGGCATGCAGGAGAATCTCTAAGGCTCATTGGCTATGTCCTTAGCTTCATGGGTAAGCTCCAGGCCAGTGGGAGACATTGTTTCAAAGTATATTGTGAATGTTCCTGAGGATGACTGACACTTGAAATTGTCTCGTGACCTCGAGCATACGCCTACACACACACACACACACACACACACACACACACACACACACACACACACGCTCACACACATTCGAATACACACACTTTTTTTTTAAGTTAACCTGATTTTACTTAATAGGAGAATGCTTGGAATGTAGGAAATGTTTCTGATACTGAATTCTAGATATCAACCACTTTGGTTGGTATTTAAAATAAGGCTTTAAATGTATTTTTTCGTTAACTTTTTAAACAAGGTGAATACTTGAACGTCTGAAGTGATTATAGCGGAAAATTGAAAATCTAGCATTTATGACATTCCTTGCATTTACACGTGGAAAATGTTCAGTTAAAAATAGTTATATATTGCCGGGCGGTGGTGGCGCACGCCTTTAATCCCAGCACTTGGGAGGCAGAGGCAGGCGGATCTCTGTGAGTTCGAGGCCGGGCTAGACCGATAGCCTCCGAAACAATACAGAGAAACCCTGTCTCGTAAAAACCAAAAAAAAAAAAAAAATAGTTATATATTAAAGTGTTCTCTGCAAGGTCAGTAACTTATTTCATTTGTATTTTTTAATTAGGAAAATATATTGGCGAGGATTCATTTTCACTTGGTGCCAAGCAGGGATGCAGACATGTGCACGTCTAAATCATGTGTCACTCATCAGAAGTTTGCTATGACTCTGTATGAACAGGTAACATGTGTTGACTGTCTAGTTAAGTACTAGACTTCTGTCTCGGGATTGACAGAGTAAGCATATGCTTTTGCCCGTAGTGTGTGTGCCGTAGCTGTGGAGCATCTTCAGACCCTCTGCCCTTTACAGAATTCGTGAGGTACATTTCTACAACAGCCCTGTGGTAAGCCCTCTCAGTGTCTTTAACAAAGTCTAAGAGCATGTGTAAGCACAGTGAAATTTACTCTGTGAAGCTATAACACAGTGTGGATTTCTCCTTGTGACGCTATCAAATGGGCTTTCACATGAGAGCCTAAGAGCTAGCTTTCTCAGCTGGAGGCTTAGGGTTTAGCTTAAGGTCAGTTACCTGAAGTGCTTGACTAAAATTTCAAATATTGGTTTGGACTATTTGCATATATTTAATATAGTATCTTGCCGGTGCAACCCAAGGCTAAAGATGGAATTCATTTGTTTAATATGTATCTTATATCCATAATCTGATGGTAATTTATGAGTATCTGTAGAGAACCTGAATCTTAAGTGTGACCCGTTACATAAACTTAGGTTTAGAATTTACCATTCGTAACAGGATTTCAGCATTTAAAACATTTCAGATTTTGGAGCATTTCTGACTAAATGCATTGTTAAATAAAATGCACAGAGTTTATATCTTTTGTACTTATGGCAGATTTTTGAAACTGTGAAAATGAGCTTGAAATGAGACACTTATTGGTAAATGGATGCACATGACTCTCTTCATCTTTGCTAAGATGTTCCCTTTGTGTAGGCCTTGTTTCCCACCACGTTCATTGTCTCCATTATGGTGGTAAAAGCTAGGCTAAAGGAGAAAGAAAGGAAAATGTGAACATAATCCTTATGTAGGTTCTTGTATTTGAGACCTCAACAGTCACCTTAAAATTCTGCCATGCTTACTGCCTGCCTGTCTGCCATCTCCTTCCTTCTCCTTCTCCATGAAACAGCTAGGTAAGATGTAAAACCTATCCTAGACTCCACGTAACACCAGTCAATCAAAGTTACTCGGAAGTCCTTTACCAGTTTAATGAGCTTAATTTGGTAAATTTATTTGGTGGGAGGATGGATTAAGATCGAAACCCACATCTGTCTGATTGCAGAATGAGCAATTACTCAATACTATCAGTTCTGTAAAACAGCCATGTGCAGTTTGAATGCTCATCAGACTCTGAGTGTGTTTTAGTATACTTGTGCAGTGTGTTAGGGGAGTACTTTTGGTTGCTGAAGACTGGATTTTTTAAACCATGGAACTAAGAAGCATATACAAGGTAGCTAGTTATATTACCATCAGGTAGAACTAGAACATCTAGAATGGAACATGGTGATGGTGTTTGAGCTTTTAACAGTTTCTTTTGAAAATCTTAAAAAGTTGTTTGGAAGTATCACATGCCTTGATGTTTTCAAAGGTGAGGGGTAGCTACCCAGTAATGTAGGGAACGTTTGTCCCAGCTCTAACAAAGCCATTCGTATTCACAGGAGTGAAAGGCACAAGTGTAGCACTTAAGTAACTTTGCTGGTGGAGTCAGCATCTCCTAGCTGAAATGGTTAGCTTTACCTCTGGGAACTTAGGGCCAAAGAAAGAAACTTTACTTCAGTTTTGTGCTTGTTAGAGTGGAATTTAAATTCAAACTCCTACTTATTAATTAGAACAAACAAAATATTTACATCAGAATTACTTCCACATAGAACTTTTATCGTCATCCAGGAAGTCCTAAACAAAAGCTTTGCTGGACATGTTGACACTTGCTGTAATCCAAGTGTTTGGGAGGCTCAGGTGGGAGAATTTCAATGAGTTTAGGTTTAGGCCAGCCAGGGCTAGATAGGATGACATCACAAAAAGTAGATAAATAAGTAATTAAAAGGAATAATTTCATAGGATTCTATATTTGTCTTAATATTTCACATACCATCCAAATAGTGATTTTCTTTCACTGTATGGTTAGGTTTTCAGATAGAAAAGCAATGCATACCTATCAGTATATATCAAAACTCAATTTTTTCAAGTGCAATATGTAGATCTATTGTAAGTTCATAGGCTAAGCTAGATTAAGACTCCTACCCTTTTTTTTCAGCAATGAAGTTGAAAGAATGATGGAAAGACATGAACGATTTAAGCCAGAGATGTTTGCAGAATTGCTGCAAGCAGCAAATACAGCAGATGACTATCGGAAGTGTCCTGTGAGTATAGTTGGAGAACATTAGTGTAGTTCTATGTTTGAACTTGAAAATAGCCATTCAGAAATTATCATGTAATTTAATGCTAATTGTACGTGTATACATTTTTTTCCTTATTCAATGATATTGGAGATAACTTTACATCTCAGGCTTTATCCTAACACTGTTACTTTAAAAACTCCTTTAACCATGTCCACATCTGTTGTCCCAGCCGCTTGGGAGATGAGGCAAGATCACTTGAGGTCACAGGTCTGTGATCATCCTGGGCGATGTAGGAGAACCACCATAAAGACAAAGCAAAAACTTCTTAGCTTTGTTAATTTTTAACAATTATTTTAGTATGCATATCTTGTCGGCATGGATGTCTGTGTATGACATGTGTACCTGGTTCCCAATGAGGTCAAAAGAGGACATTTGATCCTTGGGGATTTCAGTTACAGATGGCTGTGAAGCGCCATGTGGGCGTGGAGGATTGAACCTAGGTCCTCTGTAAGTACAAGTGTTTTTAACCACTGAGCCAACGCTCCAGGCCCCCTCTCCCACACCCCAGTTTTTTGTTGTTGTTGGTTTTGGTTCTGGTTTTGAGACTAAGTAGACCAGGCTGGCTCAAACTCACAGAGATCTGCCCACCTCTCTTTGTTAAAAAATTTAAAGTAGTATGTGTTGATTGAATTCTTCCAAAGTTCTGAAACTTACCACATGACTGCAGAGGAGCCGTTGTTGTTACTTTGACTAAACGTGACAAGTGATTTTTTTTTTCTTGAATGATATTGTAAATGACCTCAGTGTTCTTAGACAGAGTGTAACACCATAGTCCAGACTGGCTCAGCCTTCCAAACACCACGTGTAGCTGCTAACAACTTTGAGGCTTTTCTTCCTGCTTTTGTTGTTTCAAAATGAATATTTGTTGTAGCACATCTAAAAATACCTAATGTGTTGCAGCTGAGTTCTTGCTTACTCAGTAAAGACAAATAGCTGATTAGAAGTCAATTTCTAGTAAGCTGAAGAAACAAGTTTCAGATAAACTTTGATTTTCATTATATAATATAAAGTATATAGAGTAATTGGTAATTTAAAATTTTGCCCTTTGTATTTGTTTTTCTCTAGAGTAACTGTGGCCAAAAAATAAAAATTCGCCGTGTTTTAATGAATTGCCCAGAGATTGTTACAATTGGATTAGTCTGGGATTCTGAGCACTCTGACTTAACTGAAGATGTTGTCCGAAGTCTAGCCACACATCTCTACCTTCCTGGGGTACCACAACTGTTTTCATTCCTTTCGCTGTTGCTTATACATTTCTGTCAAATGTTTCCTGTGCCATGTTATACTTAGTTTTGTTCATCAGAATCTAAATCTTTTAAAGGAAATATTGATATCCAGGTGTGCTCTGATGAAGATAATTTTAAGTCAGATTAAGTGCAATCCCTTTTTCCATAGACTGGAAATAACTTTGAATTACAAACTAAGCCATCTCGTGCCCTTTCTCCCTGGAATGGTGAATGATGCCACTGAACATAAGTGTGATAAATACTAATCTAGGAAGGGCTTAAGGTTTAAAATTAATCTATTTATTGATCTCCCTGATGCATGCTTGCTTTTAAAATTGATTGCTACTTTCCAATTTACCTTGAATTTGTTATTGCTTCAAGTAAAATTTTAAGTAATTATACTTTAGGTAATACTTTAATATTTCTTCAAATATGTAATCTAATCAAGAATGTGTAATTCATCTCACATGGGTATAGATAAATGTCATTTGTCTGTTGCTAGAGAAACTGTTACTGCACTAATGCACGCTGAATTCAACTTATGGGACTTAAAGGTTCTGTGAACTAACTAAAAGTGCTCTATTCACAGTTCAGTTTCAGTGGTGCCTTCAGTAATAATAGTGGATTAAGGCCAATCTGCATGGGAAATATTTTCATAGTAATTCAAATATGTGATGCATTATTTCTCTTTCTAAGGAGACAGTAGTAAATATACATTAATATTTTTAAATAGCTTTTTTATAGGGTTACTGATGAAAATGCCACAGACAGTGAACTTCACCTTGTTGGTATGATCTGTTACACCAGCCGACACTATTGTGCTTTTGCTTTTCACACCAAGAGCTCCAAGTGGGTGTTTTTTGATGATGCACACGTGAAGGAGGTGAGACCTTCACTAACTGCAATAATCATTGTAGCTTTTTGCATTATAGAAATACATAATAACAATTATAAGATATGAGTATAATTATTAGAATAATGAATGTAAAGATAAGCTACTGTTACAGTTTTTTAAATTTTAATTTATTTTGCAACTTAAGTTTTAATCTAGTCTATTCCTAGAATAATAAGTTTTGGGGTAGGGACAGATTGAGGCACTGTTTTTCAAATTTTGTGTATATGACAAAGGAGTTACATATATGTTGTATCTTTTGATAAATTAGTTGCTTTTTTGAGACAGTGTCTCACTCTACAGCCCAGTGTAATCTATAACTTACTGTGTAGCCTAAGCTAGCCTTAAACTCACAGTAGTCCTCCTGTCTTAGCCTAAGTGATGGGATTATAAGTGTAACACATCATATCTGGCATTTTAGAAGTTACATTGTTGTTGTGTGTATATGCATGTGTGTGTGCTGCAGTGTGCATGTGTGCTTGTATCTGTATGTGCCAAAGTGTGCATGTGTGCTTGTATGTATGTATGTGTATAGCTGCATATATGCTTGTGTGTGCAGATGCCACGGTGGGGGGGGGATGAGGACAGTTTACATGAGCTGGTGCTCTCCTCCTACCACAAGGGTTCCCTGATGGAAACTCGGGTTTTCAGCTTGGCACAGGTGCTTTTACTCACTGGTCTGTCTGCTGACTCAGTGCTGGCTTTTGAATAAATACTCAGCTGGACTCTAGAATTCTTCACTAATTAGTAGAGGACCAGGTATCTGAAAACTTAAAATGTTCTACAAGAGATTTAGACTAGACACAGTTGAAAATGTTGATCTTGTCAACACTGTTCTCAAAGTTCACTAGCTTTGAAAATTCTATTAGTCAGCAGGCTGATTTTAGAATTAGAAGTTCTTAGATTGTTCTAAGCAAATGGTGGGGCATTTGTTGTCACTGATTATTTTCATAGACATTTCTTAGCATTTGCTGAACATTTTTTAAGTCATAAAACAAAAATCACTGAAAAATTGGGCTTCATCAAGACTTAAAACTTCTTCCCTTTAATCAGACATTCTTAGGAGATTGAAATGATGAACTATAGACTAGAAAGGAAGCATCAGTCTGACATATGTAATATAATCTGTATCAGAATGTATTTTTATGATTTGATATGTTTTTAGTATAGGGGATTGAGTCCTATACAGCTTATGCATCCTAGGCAAATGGTCTGCCCCTGAGCTTTAGCCCCAGCCCTATATTCAAAATATTAAAAAAGAAAATCTTAAAACTCAACAAGACAACCAAATCTCCTTTTAAGAAGTGAGCAAAAGACAAACAACGGTATGAATGTTCCCTATGATATTCCTTACATCATTGGCACATACAAGTACAATTCCCAGAAGGTCCCTATTTACCCATTATAGTGACTAAACTCAGAAGGAGTTACTAAGACCATATCATGCATTAGCGAGGATTTGGAACAGATAGTCTGAGGATAAGAAAACTGAAGAATCGAGCAGTCAACTTGAGAAAACAGCCTGCTAGTGTTGTTTTTTAGTTGAGTATATATGTTTCATGTAACCCAGCATTTCTGCTCCAGTGAAAAATGTCTGCATAAGCCTTTGACAGTTCATGATAGCTTTTTTCCTAATAGACAAAACCAATAATAAAATCAAATATTCAGTAACAAGGGAATGGCTAAGCACATATGATACAGCCATAGAACAATGGAATGTATAAGGCCTATTAATGAAAGGAATAAGCTATCAGTTAATGCAATAATTTAGATGAATCCCAAAGGGCGTTATGCTAAATTGATGAATCTGTACATAGTGACTACATACTATAACTGTTTACATGAAACTGAGGAAAACAAACAAGAAAAACTTGTAGATGTGTGGTTTCCAGGTACAAGGAGGGAAGGATTTAGAGCAAGGATTACATGGTGCTGTGCATGGCAAAGACACTGACTCACAAGAGAATGGGTAATTGTTTTGCATGTTAATCTGCTCCCATAAAGTTGATGCAAAATATTTGGTATTTGTAAGTTTGCATACCTAGTGTCTTTTTAAATAGAAAATTATGAAGAAATTTCATCTTGACATTTTGGAGTTCATAGTGGCTACCTATATAACTCAATTTGTCAAAATTTGGAGGAATATCAGGTATTAATCATCTAAGGTTTTCCTTTCAGATTGGTTCATGCTTATCATATTGCCAAGTAAGAAGGCAAACAAGTCATGGAAACTCTCAGGGTTCCATTTACTAGAAAGCCTGGGGGGTTGTTTGTTAAATTTATTAACATTAAGATATACTGAAGTATGCACCTTGACTTTTGAGAAATATGCATGCTTTAAATTGACTATAATCAGACTATATATAATCAGCTATAAATGTTTTTCTTAGCATTGCTAGGCTTGAACCAAGGGGCCTCATGTTTTAGGCAAGTGCTCTGCCATTAAGCTGTCCATTCTCTGACTGTATAGAGAACATTTTCATCACCCTGGAAAATTCTGTCATGATTCTTGCTGTCAGTCTTCGAACACCATCTTAGGCCCATGACATGACATCACTGACCTTTCTCTAGATTAGTTTTGCCCTTCCTGTAATTTATATAAAGTGTCCTTACAGCATTCACAATTCTGTCTCACTTCTTTCCCTCAGCCAAGTGTCATTAAAATCCATCCATTTTGTTCATATCAGCTCTTTATTTTTATGGTGTTTCATTTAATAGCTGTTGTACAGTTTTTCCATTTACCTGTAGTAGTTTAAATAAATATTATGTGGCTGGGCGGTGGTCTTTAATCCCTGCGCTCGGAGGCAGAGGCAGGCAGATCTCTGTGTGATGTCAGCCTGGTCTGCAAAGTGAGTGCCAGGACAGTCAGTGCTACACAGAGAAACCCAGTCTTGAAAAACCAAAAAATAATCATCATCGTCATCATAGTGTGACTATTTTTCCATTGCTCTTAGATAATACTCAGAGTAAAATTTTTGGGTTGCATGACAAATGTGTGTTAAGTGTTCCAAGGAATTGCCAGTTGATTTTCATCACAGTTGTACTGATTTTGTTCCTACCAGCAGTGTGTGAGAATCCCTCTTCCACACCCTCCCCTATATTCCAAATAGGTAGTGTTAGTAATTCTAGCTCTTGGAATGCTGTGTATAAAATATCTCACTTGTGGTTAAAAGTAATTTGAGCATTCTTTCCATGAACTTATTGGCTTATGGTGTGTGTGTGTGTGTGTGTGTGTGTGTGTGTGTGTGTGTGTGTTGTCTATTCAAATGTTCTGCCAGAGTATTTTCTTATTGAGTTCTATGAATTTTTTGTTCTGTGTACAAGTCCTTTATTATTTATGTTTACTTCAATTTCTTAGTGAAACAGAGTCTCATTAAGTAGCACTGACTGGCCTCGAATTTATGTAAACCTGCTGGTTTTGAACGCCAAGAGATTCCCTACCTTGGCCTACTGAGTACTAGGATTACAGTTACAGACATGTGCCACGACACCTGACTGTTTTCAATTTCCTAATGATAAATCTTTCCAAGACAGATATTATTACTTAAGTTGATAAAGACCATTTTACAATTTTTTTTCTTCTGAGTTTGTTTGGTGGAGCTGGTGTTTATTTTTATGATCCTTGGGTGGAAGTTACTTTTTCTTTGGGCTACCCAGCCTTCCAGCACCATTTGTTGAATAAATACCTTTATATTTCTCTATATTAAATTGCCTTGGATGCTTTGTTAAAAGTCAGTCAATGATGTATATGAAAAGCTGCTTAAAATTAGTGATTAAGTGATTAGACATGGTATCCCACACCTGTAATTCCAGCACTTGGCAAACTAAAATAGGAATGCTGTGAGTTCAAGCAGGTACAGGTTGAGATATATATATAGATAAAATCTAATGATTGAATTTTAGTAAGAAAGTGTAGTTTTGCCTGTTGGTGTTTCTTTATATTGATTTCTTGTGTGTACATGTGGGGATGGGGAACATGCATTCATGTGTGTGAGGTCAGAGGAAGTCAGCTCTCCCTCTCCACCATTGGGTCCTGGGGGTCAAACCCAAGTCATCAGGTTTAGCAGCAATAGTCTTTTACCACTGAGCCATCTCATTGACCCTTGCCTGTCAATGTTTTTGAAAATGAAAATCTGTAAAGATTTTATTTGGGCTAGCTATTAAAATTACTCATGATACTTGGGCTGCTAGCTCCTGAAAGTCTTTTTAAATGTGAATTAATTCAGTTTCTGCCTATTTGTGCTGTACACTTCAGGAATTGGTTTGTGTTTATTCCTTGTGATTTTTCTTTAAAGGTTGGAGCCAGATGGAAAGATGTGGTCTCCAAGTGCATTCGATGCCACCTACAGCCACTTCTGCTGTTTTATGCAAACCCAGATGGTACAGCAGTCTCGACTGAGGATGCGCTCAGGCAGGTTGTCCACTGGTCACATTACAAATCGGTTGCAGAAAATATGGGTAATTCCTTTTAAAAGTATTTTTTGGTGTTTCTCTACTGTTAAAGTAATATTTAATGCTAAATGTAATGCTGAGAATATTTTAAAATTAGATTTCAGCCAAGTTAAATTCAGGATAATTCTACTACATTTTGTTGATCTTTTCAAAGAAACCTTTCCCTGCCTGTAGCCTCAGAAGCACCTTTAGGAATCACCCAGTGTGATGCACCCATAACACAGAAGAAGTTAGTCGGGGGGAGTGACTCTGAGATTGTAAATGACTTAGTGACCAGAAAGTCCAAAGCAGCAAAGCATGCAATCCCTTAGTGACTGAATCAACTCCTTAAGTGTTAATTATTTTATCTAGAGTATTAAAATTGTCTGAAAAGGTGATTTAAACATCTGTTTAATGAGAAGGAAAGGAATGATGCATTTTAACTGTCTTTTTAAGGATGTGGAAAGCCTATCAGTTACAAGCCAGATAATTCGAAGGAAAATGGATTTAGTGGTCAGGCGAAACAAAGGGAAAATCCCAAACTTCAAGCTGATACTGTCTCATCATTTAATCGGAGCCAAATGCAGACAAGTGGAAGGAGAGGGCCAGGTACGACTGCATTGCCCAGTGTTGACTGTTCATAAACAGTGGAGTAGCGTTTTCTTACTCGACTGCATTGCCCAGTGTTCGCTGTTCATAATCAATGGAGTAGCCTTTTCTTACTCGGGTAGTGAGCCTGTGTTTCCTGGTGAGAACTGAACAGAAAGGCTAAACTGCCTTGCCTTGCCTTACCCATGAAGACAAAATAATAGGTCCATGTGTGTCCTTTGTGAGTACATTTCTTTTTTTTTTTTTTTTAGTGGTTGGTTTTATTTTCCTAGGTTCAAATAAGTTTTAAGAGACACTTTAAAAGTTTCTAATATTATCAAGCACAAAAGTCACAGGATATGAAAACAGAAATGAGTATTTTGTGCTCCCGCCAATTCCTTCTAATGTATGAAGGAGCAGGCTGAAGTACTTTACTTGAATATATTACATTGTGCTTACTCAAAACTGTATAAAAATCCATACCTCCTACAGCATGAATTTATATTTCTTTTATTCATTCAAATACTAGAAGTCTACGAACAATACAGTAAGCTCATATCAATCCCAGATCCCTCTCCCTCCTCTCCTTCCACGTCCCCCCATCATCCCCCCAGACCCCACCCAATCCCCAATTCTATTCCCTAGGGAGGGTAAAGCCCTCCATGGGGGATTTCCAGAGTCTGTCATTTCATTCAGGGCAGGGCCTAGGCTCTCCCCCAAGAGTCCAGGCTGAGAGAGCATTCCTCATTGTGGGATGGGCACCCAAAGTTCATTTGTGTGTCAGGGATAAATACTACTACCCAAGGCCCCATAGACTGCATAGGCCTCCTCACTGACACCCAAATTCAGGGGGTCTGGATCAGTCCCATGCTGGCCTCCCAGTCATTAGTCTGGGGTCCAAGAGCTCCCCCTTGTTCAGGTTAGCTGTTTCAGTTTCAGGAGGTCCCATTTATTAATTGTTGATCTCTGTCTGAGCTGTAGTCCTGAAGACAGCTTGGTATTAGCACAAAAATAGACAGGTAGACCAATGGAATCGAACACCCTGATATTAACCCATACACGTATGAATACCTCATCTTCGACAAAGAAGCTAAAATTATACAATGGAAAAAAGGAAAGCATCTTCAACAAATGGTGCTGGCATAACTGGATGCTGGCATGTAGAAGAATGTGAATAGATCCATGTCTGTCACCATGCACAAAACTTAAGTCCAAATGGATCAAAGACCTCAACATAAATCCTCCCACACTGAACCTCTTAGAAGAGAAAGTGGGAGGTACCCTTGAATGAGTTGGTACAGGAGACAGCTTCCTGTTTATAACACCAGTAGCACAGACACTGAAGTCAATAATTAATACATGAGACCTCCTGAAACTAAGAAGCTTCTCTAAGGCAAAGGACACAGTCAACAAGACAAAAAAGGCAGCCCACAGAATGGGAAAAGATATTCACTAACCCCACATCTGACAGAGGGTTGATCTCCAAAATTTACAAAGAACTCAAAAAGCAGGTCTCCAAAATACCAAAGGATCCAATTAAAAAGTGGGGTACAGAACTAAATAGAGAATTCTCACTATAGGAGTCTAAAATGGCTCAGAGACACTTAAGAAAGTGCTCAACATCCCTAGCCATCTGGGAAATGCAAATCAAAACAACTCTGAGATACCATCTCACTCCTGTCAGAATGGCTAAAATCAGCCAGGAGCACTCAGGAGGCAGAGGCAGGCGGATCTCTGTGAGTTCGAGGTCAGCCTGGTCTACAGAGCAAGTTCTAGGGCAGTCTCCAAAACAATACAGAGAAACCTTGTCTCAAAAAAACAGAGAGAGAGAGAGAGAGAGAGAGAGAGAGAGAGAGAGAGAGAGAGAGAGTGAGTGAGTGAGAGAGAAAGAATATGGCTAAACTCAAAAACACCAATGACAGTTTATGCTGGAGAGGATGTGCTAATGGGAGTGCAAACCTGTACAGCCACTTTGGAAATCAGTATGGAGATTCCTCAGGAAAATGGGAATCAGTCTACCACAAGACCCAGCAATATCTCTCTTAGACATATACCCAAAGGATGCACATTCATACAACAAGGACGTCTGTTCCACTGTATTCATAGCAGCATTATTTGTAATAGCCAGAATCTGGAAGCAACCTAGATGCCCCTCAACTAAAGAGTAAGTGCATATCTCTGGGAGTCATAATCCTACTGACTAATTCAAGATAGTCTGTGCTATGGCATAAGACAGCATGAATTCACATAAGCTTTGTAAACTGACCAGCTTCTAATTACATGAGGCTTTGTATCTCCTACATGAATTGGAGATAGTTATGGTACCTACCTCAGATATTTACATAAATAAGAATACTTAGAACATAGAAAATACTTACTGCCTCTTCAATCAATAGCAGTTTTCATCTTTTTTCTTTACATATGCTTTAGGGACTATATAAAATATATTTTAAAGAAAAATGTGATTCTTCAATGTCAAGAAAAATGCTGAACATTTAGTTAAGTATGAAAATGAGTTTATGTACTTTGCTTTTTTAAATTACATGTGTGTATGCAGGCATTATGTGCATAAATATGCATGTGTATGACACAGTGTGTGTGTGAAGGGCAGAGGACAAATTTGTGGAATTGCTTCTCTTTCCATTATGTGAGTCCCAGGGATTGAATTCATGCTGTCAGGCTTGGCAACAAATGCCCCAGTCCATGGATCCTTCTCACTGGTCCATGACTTTTGTTAAGTAGAGATTGTTGAACAACTTGAAAAAATGATGCATATCATTATAGGAATATTTTCTTTTACAGTTAAGTTTAGCAATGATCAAAGAGAAAAGATGAAAGATATTTCCAGAGAATGTGCTCTGAAAGCCATTGAACAGAAAAATGCACTTTCTTCTCAACGGAAAGATTTAGAAAAGGGACAAAGGAAAGATACAGGCCGACACAGGGGTAAGTTAAGTTCTTAGAGAATTCACTTTCAAAAGAACCAGCAAAAATGTTATTTAAAATGTAGTTTTACAGTATACTGTGTATATTTACATATTACAGTTTTATATGTTTACATGTTTCTCAGTTTGATTTCTTGAATGCCTCTACACTAAATGTAAAAGATGAAAAATTCCAGTTATTATTTTATTGCAATCTTAACTACTGCTTTATTGTCATGAAGAGACACCATGACCAGGACAACTCTTATAAAATAAAAGCATTTAATTGGGGGCTTGCATATACTTTTAGACGGTGAGTCCATGATTATCTTGATAGGAAGCAGGCAGTCATGGAGCTGGAGCAATAACTGAGGAGAGGAGAGAGGAGAGGAGAGGAGAGGAGAGGAGAGGAGAGGAGAGGAGAGGAGAGGAGAGGAGAAGGAGAGATTGAAACTGGGCCCAGCATGGGCTTTCGAAATCTCAAAGCCCACTCGCAGTGACACACCTGTTCCATCAAGACCACCACACCTATTCCAGCATGACCACACCTGCTAATCCTTCCCATACAGTTCCAGTAACTGGAGACCAAACATTCAAACATACGATCCTATGGAGACCATTCTCACTCAAACCACCACAATATACTACTGTTTATGTTTTGATATTTTTTTAGTTCTATTTACTTTCACTTACAAATGCAATTCACAGTACAATAAACTAAGAAGGAAGGCCATATGGGAAGTAGCTTATTGGTAGAATCCCTGCCAACTAACGTGTTCAAGGCCTTGTAATTGATCCTCAGCCCAGAAAACAAAAAGGAAAGCTAGAAAGAAAGGGCTTCTCAGTGTCATACTTCTGTTTGTTATTAATGCAATAGCTTTCAGTGCATTATAAACTTAACCTTTTTTTTTGCTTTTATGGAGTTTTTATGGATATAACATAACTTGACCCATGTATTTTAAATGCTGAGTTCAAGGGTTTGCTACAGTGACATCCTGTCACATAACACCTTCATATGTATTTTGGTTTGTAGGTGTGGCATTACATTCCTAAGGTGGATGCTGCGTCAGAATGTGTTGGTTTCTAGTTTGGACAGATGCCCTCCCTCTGTTGTCCTTTTGAAAGATTAAGACAGTATCTCTCAAGCCAAGAGACAGTGTGTCTTACTCTTGAACTCACTTTGAAAATCTTTATCAACATCAGACATGAGAAATATATTTATGATTTTTGTTAATTATAAATTAGACAAAATGCTTAATTATTTTATGACTGAAACTTTTATGATCAACTTTATAGGATGTTTTAGAGTCCAGTTAATTTTATACATATTTCTTATTTGTAAATAAATGGTAAATCATTAGTTTGTTGTTGTTGTTGAGTTGGTTGGGTTTTTGATAGAGGTTCTCACTCTACATACAAGGCTGGCCTTAAGCTTGTGATCTTCTTACTTTATTGGTTTGAGCCTCGCAGATGCTGAGTTTACTAGGTATGCACCGCCATACCTGGGTGCAGATAATGCCCTTTTTAATCCTAAATCAGTATGTAATATATGTTAATTTTATTATTTAGATGTGGTTGCTTTAACATTTCCAACAAGTTATTTAGCCCGTGATCACTGAACTGCTGTGAGAGGTGGTTGATATGTATCGTATCTACTATTATTTTTAAGATTCGGTTGATGAGGACGTTTCATCTTTCAAGTCTGGATCACCTCCTGCCCCGGATGGCTTTAGACAACAGGGGAACCCCCATCTCTACCATAGCCAAGGCAAAGGACCCTGTAAACACGACCGAGCTGCGCATGAGAGCCACACTGCTGGGAAACTGTTAAGCTCAAGCAAATCCCAGAGTCTTCTTGTTCCTGGAGAGAAAACAACAGGCAAAGCTAGGAGTGACAGTGGCACTGGATATGACACAGACAGTAGTCAAGATTCAAGGGACAAAGGAGGCAGCTACAATAACAGGACTAAAAGCCGCCACCGTGGCTGGAAACCCATGAGAGAAACATTAAATGTTGATAGTGTATTTAGTGAAAGTGAAAAACGGCAGCATAGTCCTAGGCATAAGTCAGACATCAGTAACAGACCTAAGTATAGCAAGGATCAGAGTTTTAATAACTGGCCAAAAGCAAACCCAAAGCAGAAAGGGCTAATGACCATCTATGAAGATGAAATGAAGCAGGAGGCAGGAGGCAGAGGTTCCCTTGAAACTAATGGGAAAGGAGTAGAAAGAAATACAAGCACCGCAGAGAGCAGAGGCCCCAGTAGCAGCTGGCAGATGCAAAGGACAGAGTCTGGCTATGAAAGCAGTGATCATGTCAGCAATGGATCTGCTAATTTGGACTCCCCTGTTACTGATGGAAGTGGGACAGTAATGGAGACCACTGGTGTCAAAGCCTTCAGGTAATACACAGATCAACAATTTCTCCCTCGGTATCCCTTGGATTTTGTTGTATTTTTAAATCTTATTTTTCTATTTGTGTGTATATATGTGTGTGTTTTTGTGGGAATGATTACCATGTATGTGTATGCACATGGAGGCCAAAGATGGTTTCCCTGGAGCTGGGATTACAGACTGAGCCTCACAGGGTGCTGGGAACCCAACTCTGCTCCTCTGGAAGAACAAGAAGTGCTTTTAACTGCTGAGCCATCTCTCTAGACTCTACCTTTTTCTAGAGATGTTTTCCTGCTTTGAAACTTACGTAGATTTTGGATTGAACTTAGGCAAGTGAGATGTATGATTTTGTCTAATTGTGTTGATTTGCTCATGCTAGATAAGCATTCTTCCTCTGAGCGGCCTCCTTGGCACTCACCATCCTCCTTGGTAATTGTTTGAAGTAATTTTACAGGTTTGTGTTCAGGATGAACTTTTCTTAAAGTAATAAACTAAGATAATCCACAATAACTGATGTGTTTGGCATGTGTATTGTTTTATTTTCCAGTGAGCAGATTAAGATGAACAATCTAAATATAAACAGTATGGAGTATATATCTCATCAGAGCAAAGACCACTTAGAAGGTAAAAATTGCACTTAAATGTGCTTTAATGGTTTCAGTAAAGAGTGAATTGCAGTGATGTGTTGTTTGCTGTTCTGATACACCTTATGTCTTGGTCAGTGTTTCTCTTGCTGTGATGAAACAGTACAACCAAAGCAACTTGGGGAGGGAAGGGTTTCTTTGCTTACACTTCCACAGCACGTTCATCATCTAAAGAAGTCTGGACTCAGGATAGGAACTCAAAACAGGCAGGGACCTGGAGGCAGGAGGTGATGCAGAGGTCGTGCGGGGTGGGGGTTGCTGCTTACCTGCTTGCTCCCCATGGCTTGCTCAGCCTGCTTCCTTGTGGGACCCAGGACACCATCTCAGGGATGGCTCCACTCACGATGGGCTGTGCTCTACCCCATCAGTCACTAATTAGGAAAATGTACAGGGTTGCCTACAGCCTGACCCTGTGGAGGCGTTTTCTCAGTCAGGGTGTCCTCCTTCCAGATGACTTTAGTTGTGTCAAGTTGACATAAGATTGTCCAGCATCCTTAGAAAACCCTACATGGCCAAAATAATTATTTTGACTTGAGTGGGGTGGTTTATGCCTGTAATCCCAGCACTCAGGAAGTTATGTAAGGCATAAGGATTGTAAGTTTGTGGCCATCCGGATACAAGGAGAAAAACAGTAGCTTTATAATATCAATAAGTGCATTTTCTTTTATGCATGTATCATAGTAATGTATAAGAAAAATTAACTTTTATGTATGCTTTTCACATTTGATTCACAATACTGATTTTAGTTTTTTATCACTTTGATTAGCTGAATATGCTTTTGAAGTTTGTAGCCTTTTAAAACATGCTTTAAATTTTTGACTTTATTGACTTTGTATGTGCATTCACACACATGCACACATGCCACCACGCATGTGCAGGTTAGAGGTCAACTTCAGAGCCAGGTCTCTACTTCCACCATGTGGGTTCTTGGGGTCAAAATCAGGTCTTCATGTGATCACCTCTGCCCACTGAGCAAGCCACCTCACTAGCCCTGGATAAGCCTCCATGTCTTCAGTTTGGTAGTATTAATAGCATTAGAGCATTTAATTTTTCATTTTAGATGATGAAATCTTTGAGTCCTGGCCCTCCAACCCTAAGAGCCGCTTGAGTGTTAGGTTTTGATTTGATGAACCTTTGAACACATTGGTGTGTGCCCTTGACTGTCTGAATTCAGGCAGGTGCACTCCCCATCCCCTCTTATACCCCTCTCTTCCAGTACAGCCTTCTTTCCAACAGGCCCCCTCCTGCTTTCATTTCTTCCTGTGTAGGATCCATTTTTGTGTGATCTCTGTAAGGCTGAGAGGTGAATTTTGAAGCCAGCAACTATTACCACATTGGAATAAATTTGTGTCTTCATAAATAGTTTTATGAAATTGGGTATGCCCATGTTTAGTGCGTGTATTTAAAATCATAATATCCTTGGTGGGCTTTTCTTTACAGATTTTTAAGTGTCTGTTTATCTCTTGTGACTAGATTTGATTTTGAAGTCTATTTTTTGCAGTTGTTGTATTAGAAATACCTGCTTGTTTTTCAGTCCTAATTGCTTGGGAAAACTGCTGCCCTTTTATCGTAAGACAGTCTTTGATGGCAAAGTACATTTCTTGAAAGCAGCAAAAGGAAAAGTTCTGTTTTCTAATCCAATCTACTACATTCTGCCTTTGTGTAGAACATTGAGACCATTAATATTGACTTATTATTGAAAAATGTGGATTGACTCCTTTCATTCTGATTTTGTTCATTTGGGATTTTTTGGTTTTTGTTTGTTTGTCTTATATAACCACTGTCTTCTTGCTTTTCTCTGTGGGCCTTTTACCTGTCCTTTCTGTCTGAAATAAATCCTTCTGGTATCCTCTGTAGGGCTAGCTCTTGGGTGATAAATTCTTTTAACTTGCCTTTGTAATGGTAAAGTTACCTTTCTCCTTCATTTAGGGTAGATAGTTTTGCTGGGTATATTAAGTTGGGTTAGCAGTGGTGACTCTTTCAGAATTTGAGTTAAGTATTTCCAGGTCCTCTAGCTTTTAAGAGTCCATTGATAAGTTGGCAATTATTCTGATGGGCTTGCATTGGTATGCAGCTTGACCCTTATCCCTTGCAGCTTTCAGTATACTTTATTTGTTCTATATATTTAGGTTTTTAACTATATGACATGGGGGTTTCTTTTATTGTCCTGTCTATATGATGTTATTGTATCTGAATAGGCATCTCTTTCCCAAGATCTGAGAAATGTTCTTCTGTGATTTTGTTGAAATTATTTCCTATTCTCTTTCCATGCCCATAATTCATCAAATTTTCTGTTTATCTAATATATACATGTATACATGATTATATATGTATAAATAACATACATATATTTCTTAAAATTTAGCATTGACCTTGATTGAGTGCTCTTCCTGTCTTTTGCCTTCCAGTCCTGATGTTCTGTGTCCTACAGGATCCGTTCTGTTGGCTGGGCTTTCCACTGAACTTTTATTTGACTTACTGTGTGTTTTATTTCTATTATTTCGGTTTGTTTTTTCTTCAATATTTCTATCTCCTTATTGACTTTTATTATATTCTGAATTGACGTCCTCATTTTATTCAGCTGTTTGTGTTCTTGAATATATTCATATTCTCTTTGAGTTATGGGAGCGTATTTTAAATTGTTCATTTGAATTGTGTGTCAGGAATTTTATCTAGGTCATTTCACTGGGCTTTGTAATTTTTGGAGGAGACAGTGTGCATAGGATATGGAGGAAATGAACAGTAGGAACCAGAGTGGCCTGCCACAGTGACTGTAGTGTATAAATAAGGAAGAGCTGTAGAGGGTAATAAGTACTGGTGGAGACTGGATTCTCTGCTGATTACCTGACCTTGTTGGAAGCCCTAGGGTGGGGGCTGAAGTCTCTGCACTCCCTAACTTCAGAACTGAAGCCAGAATGTAGACAGGCCCCCTGCTTTAAATTGTGAACCAGAACTGAGACCAAGATACCAGATAACCTCACCAAATGGCATACCAGAGCTGGGCTGCCTGCCCTAAGGGAAGTTCATGCTCAAAGGCTCTTAAAGGATGGGATTAGCTACTTCAGGCAGTGAGAAAGGGGAAACATCAATATACAGACTAGCTTACTGTGTTAGTTAATAGTCGTGTTGCTGTGATGTACCTGACAAAGCAACGTGAGTTATCTTGGCTTACAGTTTGAGAGTGTGACAGCTCTTAAACTATCGTACTGGCAAGGGTGTCTATGACCACAGGAGCGATGGATGCTCGTAGTAAGCCTAGGGCTTCAGTTCATGGAAAGGTGTGTCTTCCCCCCTCAGTTCACCAGTCTCCACAGCCACGTCCAGAGATGTAGCTCCTGAGTGACTCCATGTCAGTTTACCAGTGTTGGCTGTCACACTTTCACAGTGGTAATATCTTCAAGATTCCAGTGTCTCGTCACAAGTTTATACCTTGTTCTCACCTGTGCAGTGAAGGTCAATATGGGCTGTTTTCCTAGGTGTCTGTCAAGGCCTCATACAAGCAGTATTGTAATTGTAGGAATGAAAGGAACATACAGCTGGAGAATCTTCTTTGGGCTTTTCAAGTGTTACACTAGAAGTGGCACAGGTATTTCTACTCACACCCGCTGTCTAAGGTAACTCTTATAAGAATTTAAGAATGGGAATGTGAGTTTTACCGATGCCTGGAGCTGAATTAAGTATGTATAATGCCTGCAATGATAACCAGGGAGAAGGGGAGAGTGCAGTTTTACAAATACCTAGTGTTGGATTACGTGGGTGTAACAGCTGAAATCATACCATAGGAGTTAAGTAATATTGACAAGCAGTCATCAGAAAAGGTTCCAATAATATATAATGGTGTGGCATTATTACAGGTGATTTGCTAAAAATATATAGTAGGTTATAAGCCAAACAAACCTCAGGGTTTGTGGGGGGAGAAAAGGAGTTGTGTTCTTGAGATACAAGAAAATGTCTTCAAGTTTTAGAATTCAGAGAAAGGGGTTTAACTTTTCACATTTAACAACCATGAAGAACCAACTATAAAACATTTTAGTCCTTAGCCTCCTAAAGGTTTTTTGTAGAGATTATTTTCCAGATTACAGGCCTTGGATATGATTATTTGTTAATTTATTTTATTTTCATCAAATGTATGCTATCAGGAGGAAACACTTTATATTGAGGAAGTAACTTTCCTTTCCCATAGTAAAATGCCTGGCTTGTTTTAAAAATGCGATAAAAGGCTAAGTAACCAAGTATTACAGGAAACAGTGAAAGGTTGGCCAGAAATCACAGCAGAAGTCAGTGAAATGAACAATAACTGCAAGTTCAGTAAATGTCCTTGCTTCCTGATGGCTACACAAACACAAGGTCATAGATTTTGATGATGAAGACTTCATTGTTTTCAATGAGTTTACAAATTTAATAGTGTGTATGTGTTACATTACTTTTTTCTTTTATTTCAGTAGAGAGTACTTAACAAAACTTATCATTCTAATTTATTTTTGTGTCATTAACTACACCAGCTCCATCTCCCAACCCCCTTTAATCAAAACCCAAGCTTTCTACACACTAAACAGCTCTTCTCTTCTCCCCTCAAGAAACTAAACTGGTTATCATCATTCTGGGTTTGCTTGTTTTGTCATCAAGTTTGGCTGTTCTTGGTGCCTCATGTAGGTAGGCTTATATTTATCCTTTTGTATCTGGGTTATTTCATTCATAATGACCCCAAGGATTATCCGTGTTGTAACACATATGAGAACTTCATTTTCTTTATTTCTTGAGATAACAATATAATTGCATCATTTCCCATTTCCCTTTCTTCCCTCCAAGTCCTCACATGTGTCCCTCTTTGCTCTTTTTCAAATTCATGGACTGTTTTTTCATTAATTGTTATTACAAACATGTGTCTACACATGTATATTTTCCTAAGTACTTAAATACAAACTGCTGAGTCTAGAATGTTATTTGCATGTTTTCAGAGCTGACCAGTTGGTATTGGAT